CTCTCTGCCTCTCCTCTCTATCTCTCCCTCTCTCTCAGTCTCTCTCCCTGTCTCTCGTCTTTCTCCCTCGTTCTTACTGTCTGTCTGTCTCTCTCTGAATCATCTCGCTCAGTCTCTCTCTCTCAATCTCTCTCTCCCAGTCTCTTGTTTCTCAGTCTCTCTCTGAGTGTCTCTCTGTCTCTCAATCTCTCTCCCTCTGCCTCCCCTCTCTATCTCTCTCTCTTAGTCTCACTTTCTCATTCTCTCTCAGTCTCTCCCTTGCAGAGTCTCTCTGAGTCTCCCTCTCTGTCTCTCTGCTTTGTCTGTCTATCTTGCTCTCTCTCTGTCACTCTCTCTCAATCTCTGTCTCTCTCAGTCGTTCATTCTCCCTCTTTGTCTCTCTCTCTCTGCCTCATCTCTCTATCTCCCTCTCTCTCTCAGTCTCTTTCTCTCAGTCTCTCTCAATTTCACTCTGTCTCTGCCTCACCTCTCTAACTCTCTCTCTCCATCTCTCAGTCTCTCTCTTTCTCTCCCAGTCTCTGTCTCTCTCTCCCAGTCTCTCTCCCTCCCAGTCTCTCTGCTTTGCCTGTCTATCTCGCTCTCTCTCTCAGTCACTCTCTCTCAATCTCTCTTTCTCTCTGTCTCTATCTGAGTCTCTCTCAATCTCTGTCTCTCTCTCGCAGTCTCTCTCTTTCTCTCTCTCTGTCTATCTCTCTGCCTCATCTCTCTCTCTCTGTCTCTTTCTTTCAGTTTCTCTCTCTCTCTCCCTCAATCTCTTTCTTTCAGTTTCTCTCTCTCTCCCAGTCTCTCTCTCTCTCCCTTTCTCTGTCTCTCTCCCTCTCTTTCTGTCTCTCTCTCTGCCTCCCCTCTCTATATCGCTCTATTTCTCTTAGTCTCTCTCTCATTGTCTCTTTCACTCAGGGTCTCCCTCTCCCTCTGTCTCACTTCCTCTCTCTCAGTCTCTCTCGCCCCCTCTCCCATCTCGCTCCCTCCCTCTCCCATCTCTCTCCCTCTCTATCTCTCTCTATCTCTGCTTCCCCGCTCCCATCTCTCTCTCAATCTCTCTCTGTCTCTCCCCAGTCTCTCTCCATCAGTCTCCATCCCTCCCCCAAATCTCTCCCTCCTCCAGTCTCCCTTCCTCCCCGCAGTCTCCCTGCCCCCCACCCCCGGTCTCCATCCCTCCTGCAGTCTCCCTTCCCCCCAGTTTCCCTCCCTCCCAGTCTCCCTCCCTCCCCAGTCTCTCTCTGTCTGTGTCTCTCTGTCTCTCAACCTCTTTCTCTCTCTTCCTCCCCTCTCTGTCACTCTCTCTCCCAGTCTCTCTCTCTCAGACTCTCTGTCTTTCTGCTTTGCCTCTCTATCTCACTCTCTCTCAGTCT